CATCACAAACACAGAAGACATTTACATGCTACAGCATGTGAACAATGGAATTTGTTTTAACTAAATCCAAGTCTGTGAGGATTTGGGTCAATGCAGGGGCTGGAGATCATACTCTTCCCTATTAATACAAATGACAGCATGCAAGCATTATTATTAGAAACCAAGACCACAAAAACAACAAAAAAAGAGATTTCAAAAATGCTACTCTCTTTTTTTACCCATTTGGAAACTAAAGATAATTTGGGGAATCTTTACGTAAATATAAAAACACTTCAATCAAATCCAATCACGTATATGTAAAATATGTAAACAATTATGCGTTTCTACAATTGTACGAAGTGTCTTACTTACGGCAGGGTACGTTTTGTTATAACAATAAGTTATCATGTCATAACAAAATAAATATTGTTATAACAACAAAAGTTTATTATTGTAATGTTATAAGTTTGTATGTTGTAATAAAGTGAAAATATCTTGTTATAACGTGAAGAACATCTAGTTATAACAGTAAAAGTTTTGTGTTCTACGGTGGAACTGATTGTTTTTTCCTTTTTCTGGCAAGGCGGCAATACGCTTCTGTACTTACTTATTTTAGCTTGTGACTTAGTATCCTTTTGGTACATGTATGTAACATTTTCAAACAATATTGTGACTGGCCTCAAACTATTGTTGTTATTAAAGTCTGGTTTCATGTTCAGTGACTTATCCAGTAGAGTTTTATGGTAAAGTACAAATAAAAAGACAACGGAATAATAAAAGCGATTGATAAAGATTCCATTATAATTCCATTCCACAAACTGTAGTGAAACTGTCAAAGTCAATAATTATCATCACTACAATGTGTACTGACTGTTCCACGCTGAATTCAGATGCAAGTCAGAAAAGACATTATTCATATACATTAATCTCAAACATTAGAACATAAAATCATACTAATGACACAGACCCATGTGGCTTTCAGCAACGTGCACCTGATTTATCCACAGTCTCTTGTACGCAAGTGACCTGGACTTTACCCTGTCGAAAGACAGTGGGTCAGACTGATTTTACAAACACTGGCAACTACTTGGTTAAATTATACCAATAAAAAATCTGTTATGTGCAAAATTATGAGCATTACTCATAGATCTACAGATAATGACAGCTATTATGGCATGCTGGGGGTGTGTGTATGATGTGATGGGGTGTGTGTGTATTTCATGTTTTTATATCTTGGTGGGGACTTTAACCTGATAGTTTACCAACTGACGTGTACTCGTATAACGGGTAAAGATGGCTTTTTGAGGGTTAAGACTTGATTTTAGGGTTAATGTTACCATTAGGTGTAAGGTCAGGGATGGGGTAAGGGTTAAGGTTAGGCATGTAGTCGTGATGGTGAAGGTTAAAATAAGGGGCTGGGGAATGCATTATGTCAATGAGATGTCTCCACGGGGATAGAGGAACAAACATGTGTGAGGAGTTAGAGGCAGGGCACAGTTGAGTTAATTTACTGAATAGGAGGTAGACAGCTTTGTTCCAATGCCTTCAGGCCTCATATCTGACACCAGGTATGTCAGGTGTGAGGGAGCGAGCGAGAACCAGAGAGAGAGCGCACAGCAACTTTGTCTTGCTGACTTTTTTTCAACTTGCAGGCATTTTATTAATCCTGTATGGTCACATTTCTTGGATGTTGTCTTTTATATACTGCTGCTTCACACAATATAGAGAAAGAAAATTACATTTTATCATGTAGAATATACTGCACTACAGTGAGGTTAAAATTCTAAGGGTGAGGGGATGCTTGCTGATCTTATTTATCTAATTTAATTTACTGAAAACATTCCCCAGACTTAAAAACTCTGCACTAATTACAGCCATGTCTCCAGTCTTTGCATTCACATTTATTCCCTATTTGTCTTTATTTAAACTGTAATTATTATGTTGTCTCTGGTCAGGTGTGCAATATGTTTGCTATTTGTCTAAAAAAAAAAAAGTTATAGCCTGGATAGGTTTATATTCACTACTTGGAGTTCCACCTGGCATATTAATTTGTAGAGCAGGGTGCAAGTGAACATTCATTCACAGCTGACAGTTTGACCTGTCGTGGTAGGAAAAGCACAGAACTTACTGATAATATTAGATGGTTCTATTGTATTCAGGTGTCCCAGTGAACCATGGCATGAAGCAGCTATAACTGGAATTAAGCCTTTATTCATGTTATCATTTACACCTGTGCTTTTCTTAGCGTGACATGTCAAAATGCACCGTATTTTGCTCCTTTATGCCATGCAGCCTCATAAACTGGGTAAGCAACTAGCAAGAAATATTCACATCAGGCAACGGACTCCTGTTTTGCCTATGTAACTGAACGCGGTCCAACTTTACTGCTCACATTCTGCCACGAGTAGGCAGCAGGCAGGTCGTTACCAGTTAACGGTCGGCCCCATGACGCCATGCCGCTAGGAATGAAAGCAACCCCCTCCTTTCAGCTCATCTGCTCTGTAATGCTAATATTTTGATTCACACCCACATCCCAAAACGCTTCCCTCACCCAGCTCTTGATTTGTTTGAAATAAATAAATAGCCTACTCCAATTATTTTTTTGAGTAAAACATTTGAATTTGGCAGATTTGTTACAAGACTTTGTTTAAAAAGGAGAATAGGCAGGTACATTATTTTTTATTTTAGTTGAAAAATAATAACATTTTTCCACAAACAAATTTCCACAAAACATGCTGTATATACAAATCATACAAGTCAGTACAAATACTGCCAATCTCATTCTGTTATGACTCTGTGCTGGCAGACATTTTATCTGCCATAACTAGAGGGGACTTTGAAGCCAGCAAAGATGGAGGTGTTCGGTGATGAAGTAGTGAGTTGATAGACATGAACTGATACATCAATACAAGCAAAACTCCACAGGACGAGGCACAACCAGGTGTTGTGGATCTCAGTTCAGCATCCCAGGAAGTTCCTGTGGATCCTCTTCAGTCATCACTTTTAATGGTAACTTTTCTTCTTTTGGCTGCTTCAAAGACAAGCAATCATTTTATTAATTATCCAACTATTGTCTAATGCTGTGTGTATTTTAAGTCTGGATCACATGAGTAATTACTGCGTTATACAGCTCCAACCATTGGAAAGCCACACAAACCAAGCTCAATTTATCTCTGACACCAGCTTCTGCTCATGAACCTTTACTCCATCCATCTAACAGCATCACAAACATCCAAGTCAAGTCGTCTCTGCTTCCATCAAAGCAGCTGTCCAGTCAGGTAAAAATAAAATTACCTAGGGTCCTCAAGAGGGAGGCACCTGCACTAATTGTACATAGACGCTACTGCACTTTAAAATATTGTCCTTAAAGACTCATTACTGTTTTACGTATTTTGTAATTTGTACTATGTGTATTCAATGTGTAACTATATGTTGTTCTGCACATCTACACTTTCTTGGCCAGGTCGCCATAAATAAAAAAATTAAATAAAAAGAGGGGTCAAATCCACTGAGGTGACTATGAAGTGTTGCCATCTTTGGCTTGGGGTCCTCTACCTTTACATCGGAGTTGCAGCAAAGAAAAATGATCTAGAAGAATACAAATGAAAAGGCTGTAAAAATGAAAAGGCTGTAAAAAAAAATGTAACCTTCCAAACTCACTTGAATATTTGTGTAATCTCAACCAATTAGTCAATTCTATGAAACATTTAGCCAGTAATCAAAGATCAAACCCACAGCCATCTACAGCCTGGTCTTATTAAAATCTCGTTATCAGTCTAGCAAGCTGTAAATGTATGATTTGGAAAATATATCCAGAGTTACGGAAAACACCTCAGAATCTAAGAATTTGAGGGTTGTATGAAACAGTTAACAGACATGAACTAACACTAACAGTAGTGTATATCTTAATTTACAGGTAAATTCTGAAAGTCAACTATAAAAATGATGCCTTCAACATGTAACGTCTGTAATGTACATGAAAGGTCAAGCACATTAACTTACCATTTTCTGGGAGTGTCCTTTGATGAGTGCAGCTGAGACAAAGAATCCTTCAGAAAACACAGAAAATCCAAGCCAACTTGCAACTGGGACTAATGACACCTCCAGTGCAATTCCTCACCCAATAGGTTGATTTTGGTACAACCCAAAGCAAACATGAAACCTGATAGGACAGTTACATAGTTCATCAAAATGAACATACATATGTAGGACAGATTTAATAGTGTCCCAAAAATGTTCCCAAATATTTGAGGTTAATTTAGAACTTCTTAAATTACATTTTAGCAGCAACAGGACTGACTGAAGCAGCACTGTCATTTTCATTTTATATGTCTTCTCCTCTATTACTTAGTTGTTATAGAAAATAGACAGGCAGTTTTTTCCATTTGGGTTGGAGTTACAGGTGTGACTCGATTGTCTATGTCGCTCCCAGCCTTGTTATTCATGCAAGTAAATGTAAACCCATTAACAGATCATTTTAAAACAAAGAACAGAAAAAGAAAAGATGTGCAGGGTATGCCTGCAAAATTTAGAGATTTTATCTTTCAAACACCAAACACCCACATTTTTAAACTATTTAGGTGGGGTCACCAGCGCTTTTTTTTGTTGTTGAGATAATAAAGCCTGATAGAGGACCACTAAAACTCATATTGTTTGTTTCATACAGCAACTTTATCATTATATTTCAACTAAACCTTTAATTTTGTATTTTGTCTTATTTTAACCTTTTTAGTGTAAGTACAATAAATATGTAGCCTCAGGTTATACCGCGGATTTCAGTCAAAAAAAACAGAGTTTTGTAGATAATGTGCGCCAAACTTTACCCGCAGATTCACCAGTATGCGGCACGACAAACAAACTCAGTAACCGGCCCGATATTGCTTTCTTCCAGTGACATTACAACAAGTGGCTACACCACAAATTAGCATCTTCTCTACTATATTTTCATTGCAAAGCAACACTTTCGAACAGATACGATGAATAAAAGTCTAATTATGGCGTTTCCAGGGTGCGCGCATTACCTGTCAATCTCAGCTCCTGTCACTTGCTGTCACCTCCTGTTCCGCTGTGTTGTAGCACTCCGACACACCGGCTACAAGTTCCCAAGTCCTGACATCTGTATCAGGCTTTAAAGGGCCCTGGCCATGGCGTGAGTGAGACTGAAACCGAGTAAAGTTTGTACCAACCGCGCTGAATGGATCACTTGCACAAAAGCGCTGTCCGATAAACACAGCCGGGGTTTGAGTGCTGTGGCTGCTGCTGGCGTCAGTTCTTTGCTGTCTTTGTACAACACAAAGATCGTCTGTGCATTTGATGGAGGGATCACTCTAATAAGGGAAACAAACTGGCTCGTGTTTGTGCACTTGTTCCTGTTTGCAGATGTACTTGATTTACTTGCCTTGATTCCTTGGCTTTGAAAGTAACCTTTTCTATTTTTTTGTGTAAACAATGAGACATGAGTGTAATGAATAAAAATGTTCAGCAACCATCCTTGTTTTCTACACTTTTGCAAGAGTGAATGAATTACATTTCCAATTACTTATGCTTATAAGCTGTAGCCTAAGAAATGGGGAAAAAAACATGTAGCAAAAGAAAAATGATCATATATATTTTCACAATCAAGGTTTAAAATGGGTACGTTGTGCCTATTTACTCAATTATTAGCCTATACAACTACTATAGTTCAAGGTAAAACTAATGCAGCACATTCTGTTAGTGCTACACATTGTTCTTCTTGCCACACCAGAAGAAGGACCAGCGTTCAGATTTCTTTTCTGCATTTGTTGCTCTTATGTTCGTGTCCTCACTGGTGTTAGAGTGGTCAGCTGTCAACATTTACATATTTCCCATTGTTTTATTTTCATTTTATGTTTCTTGTCATTCAACCCGAGGACGGGTCGTCTCATTTCATCTGAATCTCCACCACTCTTCGTGATGGTGTTTGCTGCAGCAGGAATCAGTGGCGAAGTAAGAGCTCTTTGTTTCTCTGACATCTCTTGGAGCACATTCAGGCTGTCAGCCCACTCTTAAAGGAACATGCCACAATTTTGCAATACTACTACACTGGGTGACTAACAGCTTCTACGTACACGTTTAGTGCTTTGGATGAAATGTGTTCTGACTCCTAGTTGCTATTTTACCCACAAGCAGTACGATATTAATGGCACTCCAATTTAAGCGGAAGAACAACAAGTGATGGGATCCTGTGGTAAAAAAGGATAGGAAAAGGCTCCAATGACCACCTCCTTTTTAAATCCAGACATTCACCTTATGAATAACCAACCATAGTGAGAGATTAAAGGTTAGAGTTGGAAAACTTAAAATAGTATAAAGACGGATGGTTTACTTTGTCTCCATCATCTGGTCAAAGGCTGTCACAACAACAATATTTTTCTGCAGTGTGCTGGTCAGGTCCCCCCCCAAAAAAGGGCTCTGCACTGGTTGGACAGGACCTCTGGTCCAGACCTCTTTAGAAACAAAAATATTCTGCTTTGAAAATAATTTATGTCTGGTCTGTCCTGCAGAGTGTGAATGACACAACATCTCACTGTCTCAGGTTACCACCTGCTTCAAGACAGCCACCATCATCCCTGTACCTAAAAAGTCTGCTATGTCTAGTCTGAATGACTACTGCCCTGTGGCTCTCACCTCCATTCTGATGAAGTGCTTTGAGAAACTGGTGCTCCAGCACATAAAGAATGACATCCCAGCCAGCCTGGACTCACCCGTTTGCTTTCAGAACTAACATCCACAGAGGATGCCATCTCCACAGCCCTCCACTCAGCTCCCAGTGCCAAGTTCTTGTCAGCTTTTACAGAGGAGCAATAGAAAGCATCATGCCTGGAAACACTACATGGGATGTGCATGGCCCAGGACCAGAGGGCTCTGTAGGGGGTGATTGGTACCCATATACCAAGAATCAGTGAGGCAAGATACTGACACAGAGCCCAAAGGATATTAAAAGGACAGTACCCACCAGGCTGTTCACCCTGCTGCCTTCTGACAGAAGTTTCTGCATCACCACACTGCAGAGCAGCTTCCCCCCAAGCTATGAGACTTGTAAACTCATCCTCAGCTCTGCTCCACTGAATATGGTTATAGTTATTTCTGGATCATTGTGATTTGATTTACTGTCATTTGTCTGCTACATAGCAGAAGGGAGTCACAGTAAATTTCGCTTTACAATCTGTTGTAGTGTGACCAATAAACCTACCTTATTTTATTTCCACAGAAGAGTTCAAATAGCTACTTAATAGTATCAAGCACCAACAGTCACAACATGACTCAACAGCTGTGATGCGATTGTTTATTGAAGCAACACGTAAAGCAAGCAAACTTGTGTATTTAAAGAAAAAAAAAAATTCATTATTTTAACAATTTCTAAATCATTTATCCACGTTGTCAGAATTACGGAAACCAAAGACCAATTTTGTAGACAAATTCCTACATCTTCACAGTAAAGATGTTTAGATTTGAGCGTTAGATAACCAAAGTTAGAAATGCTACTTTGAGCACCTGCCTCATTGTAGCCTGGCAGATCAGTTTAAAAATCACTCAAACTATGAATGGTTAATAGATCATTTCAAATAGCTACAATACAATGTTGTTCTGAGCTTCAGGTGGTTTTTCATAATAAAAACTAAAGACTTTACGATTTGCTAAACTGCTGTAACATTTGAATTTTACACTGATTATAGTCCTTCATTTTTTCCACAATTCTCCATTTCCCAGTAACTTTAGTAGCACAACAGGCATTTCAAGTAACTTGATTCTAGCAGACATGGGGGGGAGAAAATGTAAAAACTAAACAAAACAAGCCAAATACACATTCTCCAAAACCTCTTTACATACTGTACTGTATGTAGAAACTGAGCTCTATAATGCAGTCATGAGGAAAAAGGCACATGGAAATCTCTTAACACAGAAAGTAGAATGTACTTTCACACTGACTGAATCATTAATAAAATGCATTTTGCAGAGTGGTGAGCTTTTCTGGAAATCCTGGACCAAACTGCTGTAACCAGTGGTCTCAAATATGTTTGTTATTCATTCTTTAAAGTAAAAGGCCTTCCATCAGTTCCATATGAAGCCCAAGGATGAAAAAAAAAAACCAACACACCACATTTTTAGCATTTGAATAAAATGAGACACTGCAAAAGACATGAAGCTTCTTCACCTTATTACAGAAATGTTTCCATAAGAGGTGATGTTAAAACCCAGCACTATTGAGATCTGTGGGCAGAAGCTGCAGACCTTAAGAGGAAGTTACAGAGGGTACATTAGCATGGAAGCATCATACAAGTGTTCTAAAGATGCAGACAACATTGGTATTGTGTAGCATTGTACTGTATATACACACACACACACACACACATTATGGGAAACACTGTTCCCGATAATAAAAACATCCACCCCTACAGTGAAATATGGAGGGCACTGCCTCCGATACGGACACACACACACAGGTAGGCAAAAACTACCTTCTTTTTGCACATTATGGAAGACACTGCTCCCGATAATGTTGTCAGGATGAGAAGTGTACATGTACAGAGGCACCAGTCTGACAGAGGTGCTCAGTAAATATTTTCTGAGGTGCGATATGTGAGCTGGCCGTGCCTGATAGACCAATCCAGTGTCAGTTTTGTAGAGCTTTGAGTTGTGCCGTTGTGTGTTCAGTACTGGCTTTCGGTCAACATGTACACTTCTTTTAGCAGATGCTGCTTTTGTCATTTCGACAGTATAACTGTCATAATTATGGAAGGCACTGCTTCCGATAATTATACATTTTTATAAAAGGCAATAAAAAAAATATTTATAGTGAACCCTGCCACTGATAAATAAATAACACAATAAATAGACATACGGTTTCTCTTGCAGTGCCACAAGGTTGGAGATATTCTCCCTTGGTTTTTGAAAGTCCTACAGAGACGTGCTCTCATGTCAGGAGGTGGACGATTCAGATAATGAACTAATTCAAATTGAAAAGTTGCGGGTAATTTGGACTATGATTAACGCAGCACAAGTGTTTAACAATACCAAGTAACGACAGTTACTTGTCCAAATCCACTTTGGTGCATGTTCTGTGCAACAGCTGTGTTATTGAAAATTAATCTCTGGTCCTTTTAGGCAACTTCTGAATCTCTGACAATGAGTTGAGTAACAGATTTCAGCACAGTGTGAAACTAAAGCTACCAACGTAAACCAGCTCAGGTTTGAACATGCGGCTCCAGCAGCAGTGGAAATACCAGCAGTTTTGATCTTGTAATCATTATGGTAAACAAATGCAGAGTTATTTGCCATTATCTCACATTGCCACTTTGTGTTTCATGAGCTGGGAAACAGCCTCTGCTGTGATTATGACCCGATACTGTGCTGAAAAGGCATCACTTTCGCTACATTCAACTCATTCATAGACCAATGCCAATTTAAGTAGTATGGTCACATAACATGGCCATTTGAAGGTAGTCGTTACTAGCACCAAAGTATTCACAATGTGACGTAGCACATGTTGAAATAATTCAAGATTTTTTCTTTTCAAAGTGGGGGGAAAAAAAAAAAAAAAAAAAAAAAAAAGTAGTGACCTAATAAACTGTTAGGCTTAAGTCATTTTTAACAATATTGTTTGGATTTAAAGAAAAAAAAAAAATCACTGAAATGTTGGAAATTATGAACAGAGGTGATGACTGATGTTGCCATCCATTTAGAAACATTTCCTCAATCCCCTTGATCTCATTTAAAAAGCTGTGCAACTGTTGGTATATGATCACAGCCTACTGGTTTTCACGCTGACAACTGTAATGATTGTAAAGAGGGCCAAACCATAAACAAGGGAGGAGGGGTGGGAGATAGTTTTTAGATTTCATTATCCAAAGCCCAGATGTCCCCTGCTAGCGAGTTGGCACAGCCCTGAATGGTCCAGGTCGCCAGGGCAAACTGGTTGTGGAACAGGTCGGTGTCTGCCTTAGGGTTGTTGGTCTTGAGGGCATCCAGGTGATCGGACAGAGCCTTGAGTGTGTGAGGTCCGGAGCCCAGCAGGATGTGGCGGAAAGGATTCTCTCTGGGAGACTCATAGGGCGACAGGAAGTTCCTTTCCACCTACACAAAGAGGAACACAGGATGGTGTATAGATGGAAATTTTCAATGCTTTCTCAAGTCACAGGATTATTGGTTTGCTTTGATGATCACGATAAAGTGATCTTTAATTACCTCCAGTCAAAAAAAAAAAAACATGACATTCACCAGTCCCCTTCTCTCCTTTAGAACTTTTGAGCGCATTGTGACAAGTTCTTTATTTCTCTGTACTAT